AAGGCGTGGATTAAATGGAAAAAATATCATAACAAAACTGACTACGAACGATTTTCATTGTATCGCAAAAGGTTTAAGGCGCTATCGGCCGAATGTTTTGATAAGTACCTGCGGTCTGTTGAGGATGGAATAAAAAAAGACATAAAACAATTTTGGTCCTTTATAAATAGTCACAAAAAAAAACAGATATACCTAATACAATGATTTACAGTAACGAAGAGTCCAGCGGGCCTCTGGATGTGTGTAAATTGTTTTCAAGGTTTTTTAGTTCAGTGTACGAAAATAGTAAATACATAAATCAGTCTAATGATGTTGTAATTAGCTCTAACTCAAATAGTCAAGTAACTATATGTGACTTAACATTATCAAAACATGAGATAACTAAGATTCTTAAAGCCTTGGACGTGACAAGGGAATCTGGACCAGATGGTATCTCGCCCTTTTTTTCTAAAATATACTGCCGAATCCATTAGTACACCATTGTTTATTTTATTTAATCGCAGTTTGAGGGAGGGAGCAGTGCAGCAGGCATGTAAATCGGCAAACATTACACCTGTGTATAAAAATGGCCAAAAAAAGGACATCACCAATTATCGTCCAATATCTATTTTGTCCACGTTGTCAAAAGTGCTGGAAAGATTGGTCCATGATGTTGTCTATCCATATCTGCATAGTTTTATTATTCCTGATGGTTTTGTCCGAAATCGCTCCACGGTAAGTAATTTGGCTTTATACGCTAACTTCTTATTTGAAAATATGGATAACCGACTCCAAGTTGACACCATTTACACTGACTTATGTAAAGCTTTTGACAAGGTGGACCATACTATACTACTACAAAAAATCGCATTTAATGGTATACGTGGGAACTTGTTACGCTGGTTTGCTTCTTATGTAAAAAATAGAACCCAAAAGGTTGTGGTCAATGGCTTCTCTTCAGATGTGATAGATGTGACATCCGGTGTACCGCAGGGATCAATTTTGGGGCCGTTGCTTTTCGTTCTCTTCATAAATGATATTAGTACCTGCTTAAAAAACACCCATTTTCTCTTGTATGCTGACAACCTAAACATTTTTCGGAAAATAAACACAACTGAAGATTGTTATAAATTGCAAAGTGATCTGGATCGTTTGTTTGCTTATTGTGCTGCTAATAATTTACAGCTAAGTTTATCAAAATGTAAATCTATCACATTTACTAAAAATATTAATGTCATCCATTTCACATACTCTCTTTGTAACACTCCTTTACAAAAAGTCTCCAGAATAAAAGACCTGGGAATACTATTTGACTCGAAGCTACATTTTGATGCTCATATTAGTCACATTACGGCTAAAGGCTTTCAGCTTAGTGCTTTCGTAAGAAGGACCTGTAATCTGTAAAAGGCCTGCGACGTATTTATTACTATATAAGTCACTCATTAGGTCACAACTCGAATACGCCACTTGCGTTTGGAACTTTGATCAGTTATTGTTATACAAAATCTGTCATAATAAATTAGATTGTAATCAACTCATAAATCAAATATATCTACGCATACCTAGTCGGTCCCAACGCATTCATAATACGTATAATCATCGTTTATTTGCTCCTAAGATGTGCCGAACAAACGCGGGAGAGAGAGCTCCACTACGGCGTATCATGAAATCATATAATGATAACTTTACTAATCTTGACATATTTGCTTTATCATTTGTAATGTTCAAAAAGTGTATTTTAAAAAAAATTACTACTAAGTAAGGTATTGCCTTAAGGTTTAAACAGTTTATTAATGATTCAACTGTTGATTCTCGAGGCAAGTTTTGGCTAGCATAGCCACTACAGTGGTTGTGTTGGCTGGGATTTGCTCAGGGAACGCTCGAATTATTCATCTTTTGTGGTATCATACAACATGTTTGCTGTGCATTATTATATTACTTTTATTGTGATATTACTTTGTGGATAACGGTGCTGGTTGTGTAATTATTTGTATTTCCCTTTTTGTAAGACCTGTATTTTGTATTATATTTTATTACACAATTGTTTGTTGTCCTGAAGAAAATAAAATAAAAATAAAATAAAATGAACAAAAGTCAGTAACCCCACTCAGTGACTCTAATACCTTGGAATTTATGGAATGAAATACCTAGAGTCCCACGAAAACCTTTTCCCAGAAGAAAGTAATAAGAATAATAGGACTTCATTATAAAGATTCCTAAAGGCGCCCCTTCTTCACGACGGACAAAGCCCACTAAGTCTCTTAAGTTTGGCCAATCTTACAATCAGGTGAGGACGACGACATCGTCTGTGGACTCAACGGTTCCTAAGAAGCTGAACTCGTTAGTAAAGGCCAAGGCAACCGCAATTAATATGATGGTGAAATGCTACAGATCACAATTCAGTGCCTCTAAACCACAACTCTATGTCAGAAGTCCGTATCACCAACAAGGAGGTAACCCATTTTCTGATCACAGACGCAGTGGATGTGGGCTGGATAGCGTATTTTTGAACAATAACTATCTATCAGGAGAGTAGAGTGCCTTTTAAGAAAACGACAAACTGACCGGTGCCGGGACGGCATTTTTATCCACGGCGTCGAAAACCGTTTTTAGAATATTTCCGCCCCAAAAGACCACCTCATTGCGTCTAAAAAAAACTGCTGTCGCAAACTAGTACGTACAGTGCCTGATTTAGTGTTCCGACAGCCCTAGGCTAACTATGAATATGTCCTTCTCACCACACCGGCATATTTTATCTGTGCCTGCCAAGGTCACGAATACATTTATTCTGTGGTTTTACTAGCTTTCAACCCCGCCGTTTCGCCCACATTAAATCAAATTTTCCTGATAGTGAGTGTCTTCCATTGCCCATGAACAACTGACGATCAGAACAAGAGCCGATCAGAAAGAATTCGGTCGCAGACGATTCGAACCACTCTTCACTAGATGCGATTAAGAGTGAGAACATTACTCTATATTAGGGAGAACTTTCGGTTTGTAAAGTTGCAAGAGGTGTGCCGGCATGAACTACTGTCCCAGTTTAAAGGCCAATTTAGCCTTCCCTTGCAAGTGACCGCAGAACTGTACCGTCATTCCATATGTCGATGCCGAGATTCCGATGCTGGCTAAAGCAACATGGAGAGTGTCCTAAAATTGATTAGATAAGACAAAGGGGTTCTTTTTAGTGGTAAACACGGAAACCTATGCCCTTCCGAAGTTTAAACTTGAAACTGAAGTTGTTCCTAATCCTAGATTTTGTTTATTAAAAAATCGACTTCAGACACAAGTTTGTCCCAATACTCGATGACGCATTACCGAGAAATATTAGCACGGCTGGTATAAAAAGCATCACCAGTGTTACAACCAGTAATAGTAACAAATAATTTTATATAGGTACAGAAGAAACAGCGTAGGTGATCGTAGCCTTGTGGAACACTGGCATTAGTAGGCTCGTAGTCGGAGTATGCACCTGTGGCGGCGCTGTCGTTGCGCCTCAAGCGACATCATCGCAGCACTGGAATAATAATGCTTCCTATTCTTTCAAGCTACTCTCTGCGCCATACAGTGTTCGGCACGGCTCCGAGCCTTACTGCTCGCCTCTGCTTTACGGCACTCTCGCAGATTACTTGCCTTCTTCTCGACTCACCGCAGACTACAAGGCAATCCACTGGCACTTGCACATTCGTCGGCAACGAGGCTGCACTATCTACCTCCGGTCTGAGCACGGGGGTGATGTGGCGGCGCTGCCGTCGCACCGCAAGCGAAACACACCGAAGCCTAAATCACGCTATCAAAATTCCGAATCATAAACAGTATATATAGAACATCTCCGAACTAACATGGAGTGCCAGCTACAGGCGGAATGCACGGCGATCCGACTCACGCGCTTACGAAGGCGCGGGGCGTGGTCCCATCGACGTCGCGTTATCTCTTGTAGTGGTGTGATTTTAGAGCGTGGCTCAATCCTCATACGCGTAGCGGATTTATATGCTGTCCAAGGGAAGCGATTTACCCCACATATTCCCCCTGACCAGACCGTAACTACGGTCGATAGTAATCGGTGAATCTCACTCTTCGGCCACTCTGCGTGATTTTCTCCTTGTTGACAATAGGCTCTGTAGGGACTTTGGGCTCCGGGTCTTTAATTTTTTTGGCCATGTACGCTGGTTTTAGTCTGTCAACAGAGACGTTATTTTTCTTTCCCCTTATGTCAATAGTGAAGTACTTGGCTTGTCTGTCTAGTACTTTGAAGGGTCCGTCGTAGGGTGGTTCGAGTGAGCTTCAAACGTGATCTTGGCGAAGAAAAACATGAGAGGATATGTGGAGGTCCCGTGGTATGTAGACTGGCGTTGTAGTGTTGGTGTGCCATGATGTTTGCTTGGGATTGAGTTTAGCCATGCAGGATCGTAGACGTGTTACGTACTCTGTGACGTCTGCCGTGGTGTAGTCGTCTATTGAAGATAGGTATTGGCCTGGTAAGCTGAGAGTTTGACCATATACCAATTCAGCAGGCGTAGCTTGTAGATCCTCTTTCCGAAAGAACTAGTAGTAGGAAAAAGGCTTCCGTCCACTGCGATGATGTGTGGCACATGATCGCCGCCTTGAGTTGACGATGAAGTCGCTCGATGATACCATTCGCAGCTGGGTGATAGGCGGTTGTGCGTAAGTGATGCGCATTAACCAACTTGGCGAGAGCTTTGAAGAGGTGGCTCTCGAATTGGCGACCACAGTCTGTAGTTACCAGTGCAGAACAGCCGAATCGGGCTATCCAGCCAGACACCAGAGTGGCTGCGCAGGTCTCCGCCGTGATGTCCACTATGGGGTATGCCTCAGGCCATCGCGTGAAGCAGTCGATGATGGTAGGGCAATATCTGTAACCAGAAGACAGAATTAGGGACCCTACGATGTCGAGATGGATATGGGAAAATCTCGACGAGGGAGTGAGGAAAGATGAAAGCGGGGATATGGTATGACGGGTGATTTTGCTCTTTTGGCATGACAAGCATTATCGAGACCACTTTCTACAATCTATGCGTATCCCTGGCTATACGTATCTTTGTGAGACAAATCGGTAGTAGCACAGTAGCAGCAACAGTAGCTGAACTTCCAGGATGGTGTAAGCTGTATAGTGTATCGAAAACTTGTTTCCTGAACTGAGGAGTGACGTAAGGACGTGGTGGTTGTACAGAGCGTAGAGATGAACTGTTGATCCTTTTCAGTTGCAGGGTAGAGCCATGAAGAAGTAGATTTTGCAGTTCTGGATCTTTGTCCTGTGCTCGTGCAAGATCATCGTATTCCACAGCTGTAGTGATCTCCTCGACACTAGAAAGTTCGTCAGCTACTAAGTTTTCCTTACCAGGTAGGTATTTCAGGTCTGTCGTAAACTGAGCAATATAGTCAAGGTGTCTGAACTGACTTGGAGTGCATTTGTCTTTGCTCTTTGAGAAGGCGAAGATAAGAGGCTTATGGTCAGTGAATATTGTAAATATTCTGGCCTCGACCATATGACGGAAGTACTTGATGGCTTCGTAGACAGCTAGTAGCTCTCGGTCGTAGGGGCTATATTTCCTCTGTGCGTTGCTGAGCTTGTGAGAGTAAAAAGCAAGTGGTTGCCAATCCTTACCTTACCGTTGTTTAAGGATTTTATGAGAGAAGAGTTGTTTGATAGTGATTCTTTAACTAATTAGTTTATGGATTTTGACTTTGATTTTAGAGGGTGGTGCATACCTAAGAAACGTCTTGGTTCTTTTACCGTTTTTGGTACGAGGTATTGCCTGATAGTTTCGACTTTGGACTCAAGTGGTTTCGTACCTGCAGCTGACACGTGGTATCCCAGGAACTTGACTTCTGGTTAGCCAATTGGCCTTGGCAGTGTTTACCACTATGTCGTACTGCTTTAGGCGTTCAAAGAGTTGCCGCAGATGGTTCTTGTGCTCTTGGATGGATGAGGAAAATACCAAGATGTCATCTATATATCCGTAGCAGAAGTCGAGTCCTAGCAATACCTCGTTAATGAACCTCTGGAAGGTCTGTGCTGCGTTTCTTAAGCCTAATTCATGAACGGGAATTCGTACAATCCAAATGGAGTCGTGATCGCTGTTTTCATAATATCATCTGGATTGACAGCAATCTGATTGTACGCCTTGACTAAGTCGATGGTAGAAAAGACAGAACAGCCTATAAGTTGATACGAAAAGTCGTGGAAATGACGGATGGGATATCGATCAGGTATAGTTCTATAGTTCAGTGCTCTGTAGTCTCCACATGGCCTCCAACTATTGCCTTTTTTCTTTACCATGTGAAGAGGAGAAGACCAAGCGCTTTCCGATGGTCTGGCTGTGCCGCTGGCGAGCATGTCTGAGAACTCCTGCTTCGCAGCTTGCATGCGAAGTGGATCCAGGCGTCGATGCTTACTGGCTACAGGAGGTCCTGGAGTCGTCCTGATATGGTGCAGAGTATTGTCTTTGTATGGTAAGTGCATATCTGGAGGGCGAGTTATCTCTGGGAATTCACGCAGTATCTGGTGAAATTCGGTTTCTCCGGTGACTGACTTCACCGAAGCGATGTCCTCCGTTGATGTGCGAGCTACGGCATTGACCGAGAGAGTAGTGACATTGTCAACTAATCGTTGATTCCTACAGTCGACGAGTAAATTATAGTGGCTGAGGAAGTCAACTCTATTTGATCGGTTGTATCACATGCTATTGTGAAATTCCATGTGAAATTCCGTCTCGATCCTAGATTGAGGTATAGCAGTATTGGTCCGTAGGTGTGTATGACTGTGTTATTAGCAGTTATGAGATAATACCTGGATTTTGAGCAGGGCGTCTTGACTGCTGACCGGGGAAAACATACAGGTTTGAACCAGTGTCCACGAGGAACTGCATTTTTGATGTCCGATCTGAGATGAATAAACGGCCTGTTGAAGAAGGGTAATCGTTGGCCGCTACTTCCGACCACCCTGTAAGTTTCCCGCCTTAAATTTGCAAGGCTGCTTACACTTTTTCACCTTGCGCCCGTAGGTGTAATGATACAAGAAGTGTGGGTGATCCGGTGGAGGCTATTTGGGTCGGAATTTCCTCGAGTTGGATCGCGATCTTGAGTGTGAGCTTGAACGTTATTGCCTGTTTAGTTGAGTAGTGAGAAGTGCTACATGCCTCGTTAGTTCTCTTATCTGCCTGGCCATCGTGTCACGGTTTTCCAGCGTGGTAGTATAGGCGCTGGCAACTTGAGGGTTCATCGGCGCGATTTCGTACACCTTGTCTGCGAGTTCAGCTAGTTTCTCCAACGATAAGTCTATTATCTGAGAAGCAATCACAGTTTGAACATTAAGAGGTAAACGAGTCGACCATAAGGTTCTTATAACGTCTGACGCTGCAGATGCTCCTGCTAGATTCTGCAGGTGGCGTAAGAACTGCGACGGTTTCCGATCGCCAGGCTCTTCGTGATTCAGCATTTGCTGAATACGCTTCTCCTGCGATGCTGAAAGACGACAGATTAGTTCCGTTTTCAACTTGAGGTACTTATCGGTTCTAGGTGGGTTAGTAACCGGGGTACCTGATGTAGATGGGCACATAGCTAACTGTTTCAACCTTCTGCTTACGACTGATCCAGATAGATATAATGTTCAGGTTACCTCACCCTTGGGAACTTCTTACTACTGTCTGGTGAAATCTGTGTCGTTATAATCCCCATCCAACTACGATTTCTACGGTATGCGGCGAGTGTGGCGATACAAGTCAGCAGATTGGGATGTGATGCGGCATTTCTTGATATCCTATCCTTGCTGGCAGGTCTGCTTCTCGTCTAAAAATCCGTCAAGCTGCGCGGATACCATAACCGATGTGATACGTCAAGTAATGGAGTATTTCATCCCCTTTGCAGACGTGCCCATTGGTGGTAAAGCTCGCCCATGGTTCAACGCCGAGTGCGCTCGTGCTGAAAATAACCAGCATATGGCGTACTTATCCTCGGTTGATGCTCAAAACCGCAAAGCTCTGGATGTCAGCCATAAGAAGAGAGCCTTTAAATAAGCCGCCAAGTTTTGCAGTTTCAACCGCATTAAACGCATCGGTACAAATTTCTCTATCAAACCATCTGGCAATAGAGCTTTTTGATCTCTTGCCAAAGCGGTCGGGACAAACTTCTTTCGGTCTACACTACCTCCTATGGTAAAACCAGATGGCTCTATGGCGCATGCTTTTTAGGAGATAACGGATTTATTTGCTTTTCTTTTTGCTTGCTATTTGCGTCTGAACAGTAGCAACAGCATACCATCTCAATTACCTTACTGCGGTAACTCTATGTCAGAAGTCCGTATCACCAACAAGGAGGTCCTCAAAACCTTGCGAAGTCTAGTTGTGAACAAAGCTAGTGGACCTGATGGTATTCCAGCTATAGTTCTAAAGGACTGTGCACCTGAGTTGTGTCCTGTGTAGGGCCTTCTAGTGTAAGGCACACACGTATGGGATGAGGCACTCGAGAACAGTGGAGAAACACTTGCTGTTTACCTTGAGGTCTCGATAAGATTTGACAGAGTTTGGCACGCTAGCCTTTTGGTTAAGCTTCCAGCGTACGGCTTATCCCGTGATCTGATTGAATGGATAAAAGACTTTCTGAGTGAACAGTTTCTCCAGGTCATCGTCGATGGCTGCTCATCCGATCCTGTAGTGACTGACGCCGTGACGCTGATCCTCAAGGGTCCATTCTCTCCGCAACTCTCTTCCTGCTGCATATTAATGATCTGCTTATGCCCGGTATCTATGGGTATGCAGACGATAGCACAGTTGTGGAGAGATACCAACCAAGTGCCCGGGCCAGTCGGGATCAAATCCAGTCCGAAAGAGAGGCTATAGTTGAGCGTATGAATCTCACACTACAGGCAGTCTCCGAATGGAGCGATGAAAATCTCGTGAGATTCAATGCCTCCAAAACACAAGCATGTATTTTCACTGCTCAAAGGAGTCCGCTCACCCTGGCTCTTATTTTTCGGAATGTATCCTTGGGGTACACTGATCGACTTCAGTTGTTAGGAGTTGAATTTTCTCCTAACCTCAACTAAGAGCGGTTCATTAAGTTGAAAGCTAAAGCATCCGGAAGGAAACTCGGTGTTCTTGCAAGGGTGCGGTACTTCACGCCGCGACAGTTTCTTACCTTATATAAAGCGTAAGTCCGGTCGTGCATGGAGTACTGCTGTCACATACGAGCTGATGCTGTAAAATGCAACCTGGCAACGTTGGACTCAGTGGAAAGACGTGCTAAGAGGATCATTGGTGACCTAGATTTGGTTGAAACCAACCTTGTCAGTCTCGAGCACATGCGCAGAGTAGCCAGGCTCTCAGTGTTCTATAAGATGCATTTCGGTGAGTGTGCACAGAAATTGCACGGTTTAATTCCTCCCTCTCCTTTCCACCATTAGATGACCTGGCGGTCAATAGGTCTTCAACATTTTGTTGTCGATATTCCCCGCATTAGAACCAAGCGGTTTTTTTCGACTTTCTTAATACGTACAGCAAAGGAATGGAATAATTTACCGGCGTCTATATTTCCGTCCAAATAAAATTTGGGCGTCTTGCCTTGAATGCACCTATATTATATTCTGCTTGTGTGAATAGGCTTTCGTTACGCTAAGGTTGATCGATTTACCATCTAAGGCTGCATTACCACTTACCACCTGGTGGAATTGTAATCAAGTACTGGCTTATAAAAATAAAATACAACGTGAACGCGGTCAGGATCTATTGGTTCACCTTCACAAAATAGCCGAACGATTAACCCTCTATTTATGCAAGTCTCGAAGGGCTTAATTTCTGCAAAAATGTTATCTATACAGGTCGCACTAGACCCATCAATACGATTCGGTTCCAAGAATAAATTAATAAGATTATACGATTTAAACAATTACCTAAATTTATTACTAATGGAAGAAGTTTCAAGGAGATTGATGTTAAAGTCCACACATACTCGTATTATAACAGTCTTGTTCTGTTTACTAAGTTTGAGCAAAACTTCTTCTACAACGTTTTCAAAATAGTCATCAGTAGCACATGGGGGTCTGTAAACACAACAATGAGGTGCTCGAGTTCGACACAAGCCATTTCTGCAGTTCAGATGTAACTAAGATTAGGATATAGGACAGTACTTTTACATAAGTCTACAATGTCTTCAAACTATGGGATAGGTATACACAGTGGTAGAGCCACGCGGAAGCCTTTGCTGTCACACAGATGGACCGAAACGTACCGGGGTGGTACTACGACTTCACAGAATACCAGTGTGAAGTAGAGATTTACCTCTGCCATTCGCTTGGTAAGTGCAGGTGGCTGGAGGCCCAATTTACCCGCCCCCTCCCTTAACATGGTAGTGGAATCAAATAAAAAACTACCCCAGGAGGGTACCAGCACCCCAGGTGACGGAGAATCCCTCACTGAGCATCCACGATCATGCTATCTTACTCTTCTCGAGCGTGGGTGATGCTTCACAGGCTGCCCCACGTATTCTGGTG